ATATACGAAACAATGAACGCGTTAATTTGAGTATATAAGCTTTGATTTGACACTACTTTTTTTCCGTGTAAATATGTTATTATACTTTTAATTAATTAATTTAGAAAATGTATAGTATAAATTGTGTATTTAAGAATGGAATACTTGGCGGTGTGTTCGCAATTGATTTGTTACACAAACCACATTGCTTTTTGTAAATCGCCTACAACATTTGTTGATTAGATCGCAGTTTGTCGATTATATCGCAAGAGAATAGCATTGCTATTTGCTTTTAGTTTTCTTTGCACACGCGACGTATTTCAAAGATTAACTGCCCCGACCTGAAATTTTTATACGGAATGGTTATTAGAAAAACTAGTTTTGTTATTTATTTACATATTCAAAAGTGCATACACTCATTAATTTTTATTTGCCTGCAACTTTATTCTTGATGCTTCGATATTGAAACAATTGCCATTTATATTGATCTGACATTTAGAATATGCGATAAAAGCCTACATAGATAATAGTACATTTCATGTGCGATATTAATATTTCACTGATCTCTATTAGTGCATCGATTTTTGGATGATAAAATATTACTCTCTTTGACGGGAAATTAACACGACAATAGCAATTTTTCACACAAAAGGAAAAGATTTATATGTTCTGACTGCAATCTTCCAAGTAATCGATAACGAATAGCAAATGTGAGTCACTCTATCGCGTTGTAGAAAGAAAAAATGTGGACTATTCAATTTGGAAATCTATAATATTGTTAAATATAAGTTTCCAGCTGTTAGAAATATTAATATTAAATATGCCTTTGTTGACAGAGACAACCCAGATTCTGATAAAGAGACAGAACATTTTGATGTGCACAAAGTAATGGATCTCGGAATACATCGCGGTCTAACGGTTGTGTTGGAGCCACATTTGGATGATTATCTCTATCCGATACTGCCTGTTAAGGGTTGGAAGGCAAGTACAAACAGCATCAAATGCCATAAAAAATAAAAGATTTTCGAGAAATCGAATAGCGAACCCTAATACTCGAACTCGTAAGAATGATTTTATTTTTGAATTAAAATTGTGAATTTGTCATTAAATAAAATTCATTTAGAGTTCAAGATTAAAATTAAACTTCTCTCGTTTTTAATTAACCAAAAGAACAGCTTCGTTTAACCTAGATTGTTAAAAGCTTGATGATACATAATTGCACAAAGTGTTCCTAGAATGTTTCCTCTAACTTTGTCAGCGTGCCTTACTTATCAAAGTAATGATAAAAGTTTGTATAAACATTATTGTGTAGATAAAGAACTGTTGTTGTTCAAAATAGTTGCAGAAGAAGAAATAGCAAATAGCAAAATAGCAGAATAATTAGAAAAATGTCATAAAAACGATTAAAGACGTTAACCAAATTATACGAATTTAACTTACGTAAGTACTTTATTCTATAAGTACTTTTTGAGCTAAATAATTATATAAAATATTCCTTCAGTATTTTTTTTCTTAACTTATAAAAAATTACGCTAAATGTCTAAAAATTAATATATATTTACATTCTGAATTGTTATTTTACAAAAATAAAAGGCAAAAGCGCAATAAGGATATTTTTATCTTTCTGGCACATAGTTCTGGTGTATAATTTAGAAAATTTTGCATAAGAATTACCTGGAAATATCTTCGTCTGTGCAAGCTGTAGAAACGGGTCATATTTGACTCGTAACGAGTTGTTACCACGAGTGCTGAATATGAAAAAGGGCTAATCGAGCAAAATGAAGATTTATTCTCGCAATACTTTATCGCGCCAAAGTAGTATTAACGTTCAATTTTACAGTGAAGTATCACGATATATATCCACCTTTCAAATGCATTTAGCGAAGATAATTGTAGAAAGTTATATCTTGCTGGTATTACTCATAATGAACGTTTAATGGTTAATTAGTGTTAAGTGACGCTGACAAACTACTATGTATTTATTACATAATATTATATTATTTTTGGTAAAATATTTCGAGATGTTCGAGATCTTGAAGTAAATAATTTTCTTCATTTAACATCAAATGCTATGTATAGTTAAACCTTAATTCGACTATTAAATTCAAAAATAATTTAAAAAAAAGAATTGTTTAAAAAATTAATCCAAAATTAATCGCTTTAATAAAAAATCGAGAAAATTCCGAAAAATTGATTTAAAAAATCCATAAATATAAAGAAATGTAAAAATATTCTAATATGTAATTCATATATTATTCATACAACAAACTTATAAGTTTCGATAAGATATTCTTTTAATTATTAAAATTAATGCGAGATACAACAATATTTTAACTTAAAAAATATAAGATATATTATGTAATATGTATTTCACTTCTCCATCGAATCTATTGCTGCAATGAAGATAGCTATATCGTGTGTGCTCTGAACTTTTTCTATGCGCTCTTACCGCGCCATTACAAACCACCTGTACTTCATTGGCGTATAGCGCGCGGCGATAAAAAGCTCGCGAAACTCATTAGTGGTACGATATAATCGCGCGCTTTCTTTATTTCGCCATATTTGCGATGTAATACATATGTGCTACTTCAGACTGTAATAGTACTTAGAATAGTTACGAAGAACACGCATTTTCGGCAAAAAAAGTACTATAAAATTCTATTCTTGAGACGCTTTTATCGCACACTCTTTCATTGCGGTTTGGGTGCATCACAAGATTAATTCAGATTTTTTAGAGAAATGTTGCAGTAATTGTAATTACATGTCTTAAAAAAATCGTAAAAAACAATCTGCTACTAAAAATTTATCTTAAATAACTGGTCATTGTATAAAAGAACAAAATATCCCTATAATCAAGCTAAAAATAATGTAAATCCCAAGTTAGCCAAATAAATCACACATAACAGTGCAAAAATGAGATTAATTTGTGGAAACTGTTAATTGATTATGCATTATTATTAATTAATCATTTAATTGCTATAATCTAATCTGTCCAAATAATTTAATAATATTATACTATAAATACATGTTTATATCAATGAGAGGACAATTATTTACTGTCATTTGATTATTTGTTTGTCATTCTCTTTTACATATTCATTCCTCATACAAATTTATTAGATTAATATTTCCAATCCAAAATGCTAAAAATATCTAATAGAAATATCTCAAAGATATAAGAATATTTGTTCTCACTGAAATACATATTTTTACTTTAAAATAATGAAAATCAGCTATAAAATTAATTCATTTCCTTTATGATTGTGAAATTTTTTATAAGATTTTATTTTATTTCTGCAGTCTGATAAAATATCAACATAATCGGTTTATAAGAACGCAACGGAAATAATAGCATGGCTGCATTATGGTATTCAGGGTAAATGTGAGCTGTGCTGTAATTAACCTGTAAAAACGGACCAGCGCATTATACAAATTACAGTATTTCTTTTTGCAGTGTGGCGTGAAAAAAAAATCTGTAACATATGCGGTGCTACAAAAACCATGAGAGTCTCTCGAATGAACCCGAGTCGAGCGAAAAAATACATTGCATGCTATGTTTATATCAATGGCAAATGTTTTATAAATTATACTCACATTGAATTTTGCGATAGTCCAAATGTAACTTGACGACGTTCTCTCTAACCCAACCGAATAATACAGAATAGGAAACCGGATATTATATGAGAAATTGGATATTCTCGAGAATTTCATTGTCGAATACCGCAAAAATGATACCATTCAACATCGCAATGCCACTGATACTTTACAAATTATTTCATCAATAGGTGTCAATTAAAATGTCAAAAAAATTATTTGATAATAATAATTATTTTTTTAAAAAACTGTTGCATGCATCTATATCACAATAGGAATGTAATAATTATGAGATCGGTGAATTCACCACAAATAAAAGTGTAAAATATCAAATTAGATGTAAAATAAAAACAAACCGAAAAAATATAAAGAGAAAAAAGTGAAATCAGAATTCATTTTTTTCATACAAAAAATTTTTTCGTAGTAATAATACGTGTCTCACATAAACTATCAAACAGTTATAGAAACTATTTATAAAAAATAAAATATATTTATATAAAAAAAATAGCGGTGTATTAAAATATACAGTGCAAAAATAAGATTAATTTGTAGAACTATCTTGACAAGCCATATGTATTTGTAAAATGTAGTCATTAGAACTATGAGAAAACTATGTATTAAAAATTTGAAAGAATTTGAAATCTAGTTATAAAAAAGTTTCTTATTTCACCTTTATTCTTACCAAATTAAAACAAAAACAAAAGTTAAAATAAAATTTAAAAGAAATTTATTGCTTGCAATGTTTTTCCAGCCACCGCGCTTTAAAGATTTTATTTTATATTACTTTTTTATCATCAATTTTTTATAAACTCATTTCCTTAATTATATTCCATAAATATATAATATTTATTTTGTAAAAATGGCAATGTGTGCTGTCGTTTTTAGAAAATGCATCTGACATTGATTGACAATCAATGTTAATGCATGTTATTTGATACTATATTCTAATTAAACTAATTAATTTAATTAGAATAATATAATTTAAATATATATATATATATTCAAGAGACAAATAAAATCTCAATAATAGTCCTTGCGTTTTTCAGGTGGTTGTGTTCAATCCACATGATTATCCGGATGTAACTAGTGGTGGTGTTACGGAAGTAATCGTGATGCCCCGCACTGAGACATATGTGGACGTAACAGCGACAACCTTTTTTAGTACTGACGTCATCCAAAGTTTTCCCATACATGAACGCAGTTGCATTTTCGCAAATGAGATGGATATAATGAAGACCGACAAATACACTTACAGTGACTGCATCGTCAACTGTAAAATTCAAGACATTCAAACTATCTGCGGATGCAGACCTTTCGTTTATCCACGTCGCACCAAAAAAGATAGTCAGTAAAAATTGATGTTATTGATACTAAATGTTAAATTGTTCTTCATAAGATATGTTTCTTTATATCAATCGTTTAATTTTTTATTGTTTATTTGCAAATTCTTTTCAATTTTAATTAGAGATTAATAGACAATTGTAGCATTCTAGAATTATATAGAACGCTTTTTTACAACTCTCTTTTAAGATAAATAACTGCATTCCTTTAAAATTAAAGTTCATTTTTGATTGTATCTATTTACACATTATAACTTTTGTTAAGAATTTCTGTAGCATGATACTTTATAATTGCACAAATCTCTAAAGTGCTAAAAGGGAATTGTTAAATAAGTAATGGGAAATGTAATATTAAATATCTCTTTCCGCTCTTTCAGCATTTGTGGTTCTACAAGAAATTTTTAATTTTTCGAGATTCTGAATTACATTTCTTAAGAATACTCGAGATCCAGCTTTAACTCGCTTATAATTTTGTCAAACTTTGCAAATTGAAAGTTTAATCACATGATTTAAAAGCTAATGCTTTTTTTTTAAATTTAAATGGCAATACGCAAATGAAGTTTATTCGTTTGTAAAACAGATTTGATATTAAGTATGGAAATATTATACAGTTCTTTTTCTCTCTCTTTCAATAATTAGATATATCAATTTTTCAACTAATTTGAAATAAACTTTTTTTTAAAAACAGTGGGATCACCAATACAAAAACATCAATAGTAATAAATTTTAAACAATAAAAAATTTAGGAATTTTTACATATTAAATTTCAGAAATATATAAATGACAACCAAAATTCATAAAGATAACAGAATAAAGAGTATCAAATTTGTAATAATTATACTTCTTCAGCTCTACAAATCTTTTAATTATATTTACATCTATTCTCATATTCATGTATATTTATCACATGTCGCATTATAACAGATTTATTAAATTCATATAATGACGTTATTGCAATATGCATGAATATAGAGAAAGATATACCTATACATATACTTATATGTATATATACACACACACACACACGGCTACAATATTATTATTATTATTATAACAGCTCGTTAGTAGAAACAAATTCGTTATCAAATGTAGCAGAATTTTTTATAACAATCGCGAATAATATATTTGTCTATTACATAATCACAGATCGCGTTGTGCGGTTGAAATCTCTTGCAAAAGGTCTTTTTCGATACTAACTTGATCGGCTCTGACGAATTGTATTTCCGAGCAACGAACGAATTTCGATGTTAATAGATCGTGCGGTAATACCAAACTCGTAAACTCTATACTTGCGAGAACGCGAACTGCTTTCATTGGCGCACTCTCACATTGCATCACAGTCTATCGAGACTGACGATTCGGCAATATTGCTAGCAATTTTCAGGACAAATCGTGTTGCCTTCTTCCCGCTTTTGTTTCCTCGTGAAGTTCTCTTTATCCAATTTAGCTCTTATACCTTTCGCTCGGTGGCGCCGTTGGGAAAACTTATAGCGATTGGAAAGTGAGGGAGTAGTAGAGAAAAAAGGATTATATGACATTATTCTACGACGACGTTATTATTTATCACTCGTTCGTGCGGAGAAAATTTAATTAAAAACCTGCCAAAAACATTTAAATATCCACGAAGATAAGTGCAAGTTATATATTTTTTTTATATTGACAAAATTTATGCGACATTTATTTTATGCGACAAAAACTTACTTGTATGAATTAAAAAATGCGTATTTATTATGATGTTTTTTTATAATACTAGTCTTATAGAATTATATGTGAATTCTATGATTTTTATATCACATTTGTAACAGTTTTTACACCTTTTGCATGCAAGTACGGTTTTATTTAAACGTCATAAAATATTTCGCTTCAGCGATAGTGCGACTATTTCCGTTCGTTAAACTTTCAGAAGTTGATAAAAAAAGAAAATAAAAAATTAACTTGAACAACGACAAATTTTTCGAATCCAAATAGATTTTCTTCAATCCTCCACATTCTTCTTACTGTCACACTTTGATTTTTCTTTTTTCCATTACAAAAGTTAAAAAAAAACCGAAAACTTCTAACGCGTTATAGTAACAAAACATACGATAAGAATAACTGTTAAAACAAAATTGTTAATAGCATAAAAAATATAATAAAGAATTAAAAATGTATCAAAAAATATAAAATCAGATATTATAATTAGTAATAATATTTGATCAGAACTTAATTACAGATAGAATAATATGATTTACTGAATTATAGAGTTATATAATTATAATAACGAGAATCAACACTTAAATTGTGATAAATGTGATTCATTTTAATTTGAAATATTACTCGAGGCTCGAAAAATGGACGATACGTTAAGGATTGTATCTCATTGTATAAATTCGGTTTCCCTAACACCGTGCACCCTCTCACATTTCGGCGATTTCTTTCTTCTATCACGAAGTCGAAAAGCGTGAGCGGCAATCTGTAAAGGAACGTTGCTCACCGCATTGCGAAACGTACGCGCGTTCGCGAGTTTTCTAACGAGACTTTACCACGGGTGGCTTAAAGCATTAAAGCGGATCGCGCGAAGCACCGCTCTGTAGGATTAACTTACCGTGGCCGGGGGCTCTAGCAAAGAAGAGGAACGCGTTGAAAGCGACGCCGAGCCGAGTCCCACTTTCCGTTCTTTCGTTTTAAAGCCGCCCCGATTGCTCTTTTTCTTGCGCTTCGTCGATAGCGTGGAGCATGCTTGGACTCGTTTTTCTCGCGACTAACTCTCCCATTCTCCATATTAATCAACAACACATGCAACGACAGCCGCACTATCGCACGACGTATCTACGTATTATCCTAGTTGCTCTTAAAAATATCAACACTGTTTGCAAACGATTAATTTTACACATTTATTTATCACCGCAAGCAGATTTCAACGCTAATGCGATTTCATTTTTTCATGATTACAGCATGATACAATGCAAGTTTGAGATTTCATTGAAATTATGACAGACAAAGAATGCTCTGATGATTTTTATCAAAGAATCTAATTTGTAATTATAATCATAAAAGTAGCACAGCGCACTTTTTTGAAATGTAGATTATAAATTAATCTTACTACGTGTCATATGTGAATATTGAACTTCACAGTTCGACAGAATTTTAAATTTGATATATGTCGATTGTGCTAAGAAATCTATTCAAATCACGATTCACGTATTCACGATAATGCATTCACAAGTGAAAAGATCGGAATAAAATATAACAAGCTTAAGTTAAGTCTTATCAATTTCGATCATGCTATTTAATCTTTTCTAGAAATTAATTTCATAAGTATTCTTTATTTGCAATAGATTTACTTTATAAATATATATGTATATACCGAAATTTTCTATATAATGTATTTTTCTGAACTATTATAATACGTTATATGGTTTTGTTACGGTATTCCATTGTCATATGGTATTCCAGATTCTTGGCGTATTTGCACCAACCTGGATTTAGACTGCCTTAGTAAATACAAGCGTAAGCTTTATCAATACATTGTTAATATATCCAAAGATTATATTTTACATATAAATGTACATATCTGTATTAGAGTTTTGAAGTACCGATAACTTATGTAAAAAGCCTGTAAATTAATTATTTACTAATTGTCTAATTAAGGAACTTGTACTAATTTAAAATTTTATCTACAATATAGCTAAGTGGTGGACTGTTTTCCCTCACGATAGTAACGAAGAATTTCTTAAAAACCAAGATTGGGCTTTACATTGTCATAATTGTTATCCCGCCTGCGATGACGTTACTTACGATGTACTGAGTTCGAAGAGTTATATGATTCCCGGTAACTACAAAACCGACTTACTGTAAGTACATATAGCATTTCTAGCGATGCAAAGAAGACGTAAAAGTTGCACGAGAAAATTTCAGATGGGACTTTAACGTTACGAATCAGGGAATACTACATGTATATTTTTCAAAATATGGTTCAATCAGATTGAAACAAGATGTGTCTTCTTACTGGTACGAACTCTTGAGTAAGTACAGATTAATGAAAAATTCTGTTTGAATAATCGGAGATTTTTAAACAATCGAGAAATATCCTAATATTGTTTTACACAATAACAGTTTCGTATCTACAATAAGGTTATCGTGCATAGATATAAAAAATTTTTAATTCTACACACACATTTTCTTCAACTTACAATTATGCATTTAATAATTTTATTTGCTTGTGTAAAATATATTTTAATATTAAATTTTTAACAAAACTTAAAAATAAGTTTTGTAAATTGATATAAAATAAAAATATAAATCTTGACAAACCTTATAATTATATTCAGAAATTAAACTTGGTGTCGATAATATATATATATTGTTATCATAATTACTTTGAAAAAATAACTTCAAACTCCTATTTATGATTCTTAATTAACTGTGTTCTGCAAAAAACTCAAAGTAAATTAGAGGCTAGCATGAAACGCCGTCTTTGCACTCGGTATGCAAACTAGCGATGGGAAAATCCTTTTCACAGTTGATACAAAACATATGAAAAAGATATTTCCTGGACGAAAGCAGAGTAATGTGGAAGAGAAATTTTCTGACCACGGGCATTCTGTAGGATGCCCGAGGGTTCTCAAAAATGGAATTTTAATATCCAAGTGCGTATAACGTTTCTCCACTCTAGTCTGAGTCTCGTGTAAAAAAAAAACATTTTTTTCTCAGAAAAAGTGCAATGTCTAGTTGCTAGTACTTGTTTTGCGAACAAACTGTTGAAATGAGAAATATATCTTGAAATATATTATAAAAAGTTTACTAACAATTTAGCTTTTTGTAATTCTGAAAATTTAATTTTGAGGAAACGTTGTTTTTTAATCATGAATATGCATAGCACAGTCATGATTTTTAATTTGATTTAAACCGCGTATGCATTTCACTTATATTCCTTATATAGAAATAATAGAAAATTCTCCAAAAATGATGCTGTTTTAAAACCTCAAAAAATTGACTAGAAAAACCCTTCGTTGTTGAAATTCAAATGTGACTTTATATTTCTCGATTTTGTTAAATGCATATTTAGCAATATACACAAATTACAAAAAATGGTAATGCTTGAAACGAGAATAAATGTGCACTTTCTCCGATACTAATTCAAATGCTATCATAAATTCTATAAATACATTTATTCAAACTTGTCATGTAGTGTGTGATTCATAAAGTCATTATTTTATTTTTCACACTGAGTGCTGACTCGTGTTGGCACAACAAATAATAATTTTATATTCGCCCACAATTGACAAAAGAGTTATCAGGCATATATAAATGAATGTGTGTATATACTTAAATTGATATTTAAAAAAGAATAAAGTTCTATCTTTTTATCTCTACGAACTAGTCATAAAAAGATAGCACTACCTGTAGGTTGGTAATATTCTGTAAGCCATTGATTAAAGAGTAGCAGACTTGTAAAGAACAAAAAGAGGACATCGGTGGTATCGCTGCAAAAATTTGCAATCGCGCTTTTGGAACGTGAATCGCTACTTTACGTAACATTCCTTATTTTTTTAAGAGCTGCATTAAAAAAACACGCGGCCGTTTCGTCGAATCGCCTTATCTTTCTCGCGGTTTTAAAGGTGCTGCGTCGTAAAAACTGGTCATTTTGCAGGCGATATCGGCGGTATATGTGGTGTCTTTATCGGCTTCAGTCTCATCAGCGTCGTGGAATTGCTGTACTTCCTCGCGCTCGCGCTTCGCGATCTGCTCCGCAAAGAATCAACTGTGCAGGAGAGCGAAGATCACGAGGAGGAAATCCAACAAATTCAAAGCCAAACTATACGGACGATCTATTGGAGCGAGCTACTGCCGCGATCTTGGCAGTCGGTGAAATACGGCCAGTTTCCTAATAATAAGACTAGATATTGATACAGCCGGGGAGCTATCATGGAACTATTCGGCAAGGTTTCCGATCAGAATGATTACATTCTCCGTCAGTTGTCGCATCATGAATATTCGGATAACATTCGAAATGAACAGAGCGCTTTCGATAACTTGCAAACAAATGAAAAATCGATTTCGATCGAGACTAAATCTCAGACGAAAAAAATTAAAACGGGCCGGTTGTTTCATTGTATCAAACTGAAGCGATTTCGGAAAAAATCCACGATTGCCCAGAGGCACAAATGGAACAGCGATCGAAAACTTGCTAGTCGGAAACTCATGTTTCCGATCGACATTATGAATAGTTCCACGAAAGCTCCCGTAGTTACGATAAGCAGATGGTTTAAAAAGTTCTAAAATTTTTATCATCATTAATTTTGCAGCAAGAACAAAAAATTCTCTTCTTGCTTGTTATTATAAAGGTTTTTTGCAAAAAGTAAAAAACTGCTTTATGTACTAAATTAGCGCAGATAAATTGATAAAAATTTCGATTGTGTTGTAAATTTTCTCTTAAATAAATTGACTTTACATGCAGTAAAGATATCACGTCTATGTTAAATTTTAAAAGTTGCATAATTAAATAACATGTAAAATTATCGAACAAAAATTATTCTAAATTGGACGTAAATTTTGTATAAAATAGTGCATACAAATAAATTTAATTTTTATTCATTTGTAGCAAATTAAAAATCTAAATCTCAAAAACTGAAGCAGCTGCAACTTTATGTCGACGTATATCAATTGTCGTCTAAGGGCGATATTGTTAGATAATAAGATGGTTATTAATGAGGAAAGTGCTAAACAATGAAGCAGCAGTTGTTTACGAGGAAGATAGCTATAATACCCAAACATGAGAGCATGAATGGAACGTGATAGATACACGAAGCTGCATGGGAATTATTATCTCCGATGACACACGCCGGAGACACGTAATTAATTTCTCAATATAATTATGGTTTTTAATAGACAGTTACATAAACTTATGTTGGAAATAAAGCAGTTCGCTTGAAAGCATCATGTTTAGCAAAACAATTTTACTGTGTTTACTAAAACGATTTTATCATGGTCAATCGAATTTCGATCGACTTTAGGGAAATATAACTAAATTCTGCAATCAATATTGACGATCCGATATTATGGTAAATAGATTCGACAGTTTGCAAATGCTGCTTGTTAGTATTCGCAGCGTATGCACTTTCATATGTACGCATACGATTAGTAGTATTTTATACAGAGTGTTCCAGATCAATCGTATCGCTCATTAATAATTCCTGAGATCGTGGAGACATAATTTCTATGTTAACTATAAATCAGCTCGTAGAAGTCACTTGAGTGGACAATTAGGCGTTAGTTGTATAAATAAACTTCCGTGAGAGGCACGTCAAAGTAGTCTCGAAAGAGAGACAAAGTTGGGGGAGGCAAGTGTTATCAACGAGACAAGTACTAAATGTTTTCTAGTAGTGATACACCGAAAAAGCGAGTTGAACGACAATGACCGAGGGTGCAATAGAAAAGAAAAATGTGGTTATCAAGGCTGCAGAGCGGTAATAATCTTCCGCAGTATCGCCACTGACTATCCGGCATTGTCAGGCCGTGCAAGGAGTCAGATTCCAGAAAGATTTATTAACGAAAGCTACACTGTGGGACACTGATAAATTATCGACGAAAAAACGAGCGACATCGCTCGACCCCGATGCCTTCTTGACAACCCTTTCATTCTTCCGCGGCTCGATCCTGCATTATTATGGATTCTCTATTTTAGGATGATATATGTGAACTATAATAAAATATATTCAACCAATATTTTGATATAAAATATAAACAGTGGATTGTTTACCGCGTATCTTACAATATCAAATATCATGGAGTTTAATATGTTTTATTAATATAGTTAATTTAATTAATAATAATATAGAAAATGTATTATTATCGGCTTTATGTTACTCAATTCATGTTACAAAGTGACAGTAAATTCCTGAAAATTTTATTCTTATACGTTCATGAAATTTTATGCTTCGGCAGTTTTGTATTTTTTCAGGTTTAGATAACAATTTTTCTCACTGAGACATTAGATATAAATTAAAAATAAATGCCGAACATACCAGTTTTGCATTGTTATGTGAATTATTGAATACATATATAAAACAGAGTATACAGTATTTTAAAATTTTGTGCAATAGTTTAAAATTCTTTTTTCTGTGGTTTATTTAAAAAAAAACTAACAGTGACATATCTCTGAAAATTCCATTTTGCGGACAAATGTTTCACAATTAAAAAAGTATATTTCTCTTTAAAGTAATAAAATCGTTCTTTATCAAATATTTATCGTAAAAAAAGAAACAAATAAGAAAAATCACAAAAATGTATCTTCATATTTGCTTTTTATTATATGTTTGCAAAAGAAATTTAAAATTTACTTTTCAAAAAACCTCTTTTTTGGCTGATATTTTAGAACACGTAAATGCATTAAAAAATATAGGAAAAAATTTCATGACAATTTTCCTTCCTTCCTTTCTTAATGTTCTTTTTTTTATATTAAAAATGGTTTTTTTTTTTTTTAAACAAATAATAAATTACATACTATTATTTATCTATGCGCCCAAAAATTAATAAAAAAATAAATTGTCAAATGCTTTTGGCGTTTTAAATTAAGAAACAATCGATAACAAAATCAAAAACTTTTAATATAAACTTTGTTAGTGCACTTTAGCATCAATCTGCACAAAATTGATTTTTTAAATCTCCTTCTCTTTCCCTTTTTGGTACACTTGCTTTCTATGTTCTGTAAATGTTTACTCCGGAAAGTTTAAAATTTTCAATGTGTAAGAAATTCGCTTTGCGCCACATCGGACGGTCATTGTCGATAGTTTCAAGCTTGTTAGCTCGACGGACGATTCGCTCGTCTCGAATTGTTATGTTTGTGCTGTTTGCTATCTGAATGTCGCGAGGCGGAGTCTCGTGATAGTCTTGACCGGCGCAATTGGAACTTCCCCGCGCTTTGCACACGCCGAGCAAATATCCGTCCGAACAAACAAGACTGTGTATGCCGCGTACGTAACACATAACGAACGTGCGTAGATACACGGACAGAACGGAAATTCTTGAGACATTTCTCATTCAAATATTTTTTTTTCAGTGACAGCAGTGACGCTTGCTGTTAGTACATTTAACACTTACTCTTTAGATTTCAATTATAAAACATTTTGAAAATAGCAATATTTTTATATATTTTCCAATATTTGTTGTATCGATTCAAGATTATTTAAAGTACTACATAAAATATTCATTGACTAACGTTGCATAAAAAGCTTGGATTCTGAGTAAAATATAAATCCATTATAAAGGAAAAAGTATTGCCTTAATAAATATCATCCACATCAGTATTAGATTAAATAATAAATTTTTCAACTTTTTAAGCTTCTTTTGGCATCTTGCATTTTTTGCAAAGAACATTATAAATCTAAAGCGGGAATTATAGCTTAATTGTAAGTATGAGAGTAAAAAATGAAGTAAAATTCTAATATATTGCTGAATGTTATATATGTATTAATATCGCTAAATTCGATCGATTTCGCTTTCCACTTGATTATACCTCTAGTTCCAGTGGTATGCATCTCGTTTCCCGCTCCCGTTAATTTCGCGTTTGAGGATGTGCGACTATAATGCGAATAGACTCTGTGCGTCGTGCGGAGTATCGTGGAACGGTCTGTATCTGGCGGAAACCAAAGGGGATACCAATGAAATACGAGGGATATGCGTGCGCTTTACCGCACCTGCGTATCACACGAATTATTGTAACAACATTGTCGTGCGGCAATTAAGAAGAGAAATGAAGAATTGTATAAATCAATTTCTCAATTATTATATTTGTTTGATTGTAGTTCTATTTAAAAATCCGCGTATATTTTACAAATATTCCAAAAAGGCTTGGCAGATGAAATAATCATTAATTTTGGAAATTTATCTTATAAATTTTAACCCACTCTCTTTGTGTTAGAAATAAAAATAATTTGTCTTTAAAAAAACCGGAAAATACGAAAATTCAATGCGATAAAAATTGTTGAAAAAGTGCCAAATGTTATACGCACACAAATCTATCGTCATATTTATCGCTGAATATCATGTAAGCACAGCTGCATCCGTACATCTGATGAAATTCGAAGCATGACTTCGTGAAACAATCGTGTAACACGTTGCCGCTATTCATAAAATCCGTTCTCTCCGTCGTGGTACTTTCGAAAAATCACCAAGTCAATCTACAAGCAGAAAAGGATCCGAAGGAGAAAAAGGACTGTTCTAATATTCCGCTGGATGACTCGGTGATTTCACGAACTCTGCAATTTTCCGTCTCACGGATACAGTAAATCGGATGTGTGTACGTGCCCCGTATCAGGAGGGATGGATGACCGCTGTGCAGTCGTCGATATTGATGTCGACTGGCCGGAGGGTTGTGGTTCCTAGCCGTCAAAACAAAGTAATTTGTCTGCAGATCCGACGTGTGGATCCGCCGTTTCACGTCGCGGGATGCACGTGGCCCGGCTTGTTACAAATCGCCGGGCAACCGTCAGTCAGGTTCGACGGTTCCACTTCGGGTCTCCGGATTCCCAGTGTGCCGCAGCTGTTCCCGGATCGCGGAAATTTCGTGGGATCGATCTTGTGCGACGCCGCTTGGGGACGGCGGTAAATAATTGCGCTCCCAACTTCGACAAGTTCTCCTTAAAGAGAGCGTGTTCGTTAATCGTGCTAATTTCTTGTTATTTTTCGGACATCGTCGAAACTTTTCTCTTATTTGCTCACATCAAGATCTCCAGATAATTCAACATTCGACAAGCTCTGCTATTCTCTTATCAGGCTGCCAATACCGCGTTAGTTAAATTTGACCATAGAAGCGTAACAACAACGTCTTACAGTGAAATGCCATTGTTGATGTAACATTGTCAAAAATGCACGGTTCAGCGCGACAATGCTGTACAGTTGACTTAGTACTTTGAATACAATTCAAACACAGTTTGCGTTGGTCGGTATTGACATAGATCTGTCAGTAGACATAATAACGGGGTTGCATGTATTTTCTTGTAAATCTCGTTAGTCGTTAAGGCTACATTGGATATAATGAAGCAGTACAAAAACTAAATTTCAGAAAACTCATAAAGAATTGATGTTATTAATGCGTACTTATTTTTAAACAATGTAGCTTTAGAGACTTTTTCAAAATCTCCAAATAATTTAATATTCATAAGCTTTACCATTCTCTTATCAGTGAAATTAATTATCAATTTAATAAAAAAAATTTTATCTTTACTTTTAATACCTTCTACAATTTCGTAATTATTTAAATATGTATATAGAAACATATCAAATGTTAAAAGAATTAGGAAACGTTTAAGATACAGCTCGTTTTTTCGAATCCACCTCGCATACTCGCGCTCTTGTCAAACGAT